TAGAGCAGCAAGAAAGCCCACACTCTCTTCAGAACTGCCATGAGAGTTAGACTCATCTCTGCCGTGGTGCTATGTTTCCTGGGAACAGGTGAGTCCTGGAAATTGGTATGTCCTGGGTACTGAGTGCAAACCATATATTGTTATTTCTAGGCTGTGCGAACCAGATTTTTCCAGTATCTGGCCGACTGATAGCCTTGTTTTCACTTCTTCTTCACTAACAGACCTTGTGGACATGGAAGTAACCCAGATGCCAAGATACCTGGTCACAAGAATGGAAGAGGGAGTTTTGCTGGAATGTGCACAGGATTTGGGCCATGAAAGGATGTACTGGTATCGACAAGACCCAGATCTGGGGCTACGACTGATTTATTTTTCATACGATGTCGACAGTAACAGTGAAGGAGACATCCCTAAAGGATACATGGTTTCCCGGAAGAAGCGGGAGCATTTCTCCCTGATCCTGAAGTCTGCTCAAACCAACCAGACATCGGTGTACTTCTGCGCCAGCAGTTTATCACAGCTCTGCACAACCACATCCTCGCCACACAAAAAGAGGCCCTGTGGGAAGGAGGTGTTTCTACCTCGCGGCTGAAGCTGTCTTACAGCCAGTTAGAAAGAGGTGGCCACTACAGAGGAACATTGACGTGCTCCTATCTTAGCGAAATTAAAAGCACGTGATATTCTCACTCCTCCATAATTCAGAAGACAATGTGAACTTAACCAGCCCTGAAGGATGAGCTGTCCCTAAACTAAATTCATGAGACTGACACCCTATAAGATGCCATCTTTCGTATTTACACGAAAGCTCTGTTTAATATTTTAAATAATTTCATCCTTCAATTTTGAGCCCTGATCCCTTTCCACAGACTTCGTTTACTTTCTCTTTGTGGTAGGTCTTTGCTCTTTGTGGTAGGTCACCAGAGGGCGCTAACACATCTCTGCTCTCTAGATGACTTACTGTCTAAATCAAAAGGTTTTTAAAGTTTGAGCTTCATGTATTCCATTTGAAGCCAAACCAGTCTGCTTGATTCAGATTCTCTTATCAATTACGTTTCATCTGACAGTCTCTAACCAAGGCAAGAGTAAACCTTGGTGCAGGTGGTCAGGCTGCAACTATTCTCACGACCACCTGGATAATATGTTTCTTTTGGGAGAATGAGACACAAAATATTAACTGGGTCTCAAATTACAAGATTTTTTTCTAAACCACTGAGACAAAAAAAACCTGAAACAACATATTTAAGATTTTAAATTTCATGTATTTGTTTATTTTTGCAATTGGATGTGTGTGTGCGTGAGTGTGACGAATTGCATGTGTACACTCCTGCTTTCCTGAGCACACCCATTCACACAAGTATCAGAGGACAACTTGCAGGGATTAAACTCAGGTTGACAGGTTTGCCTTCAGGGATCTTTACCATCTAAACTGTGTAGTTGGTCTTATGACAATGTCTCAATATTACCGGCATGTAAAAGAAGTCAGGGCCAAAAAGAGTAAACATGTATTACAATGTTTAGGACTGTGTTTACCTGAGAAATTGGACACTAGCCGATGGAAATCACAGGCAAGAAGAGAACAACTGTCCAAAAGGAAAGTATTCTGTTTGGTGTGCAATGCCCCCTGCAGAGAAGGAAAAGCCTAGCAAGGAATGAAAAGTCTCCAGACTGAAGCTGACATCCAGGACAGACACAAGGCATCCTCACAGAACGTAATCACTTAGCAGGACTCTATACAGGCATCTTTGTGTATGTGCAAACCTGACTTGACCCACAGAAAACATACATGACCCACAAATCTGCCATTGCACACAGCAAACATTGCCAAGATTCAGATCAGATGAAGAAAAGGAAATGGCCTAAGTAGTATTTGCATTGCTATTGCTACCAGGAATCACCGGCTTGCCATGGAAGCCAAGTCTCTGGTTCAAAGTTTGCCACCTCAATCTCACGTTCCGCCATAGCTGCTGCGTGTTTCCTCCTCCTCGACCATGTATTATTGCAGCCCATGCAGAGAGGAAGGGCACTTGAATGAAATGAAAATATGCAGAGATGAAATGGGACTAAAATATTGTTGAAATAGGAGGCTTGAGTCTGTGCATAAATTGAAAGTAATGTTCTAAGAAAAGTTTGAAATATAGCTTCTTAAAGGCTCACAAAATCTCACTAATCCTCTGAAAATGCTGCCTATTATTTCAACATATATACATTATTTTGAAATGGAAGATTTCCTAGGGGGAAAAAAGGCTACTCTGAATCTGCCCATGAAAACACAGGTTTTAATATAAAATTGGGCCAATCTAACAGTGAATTATCTAAAAGTAGATGAAAGTTTCAAGTGGAGGGGTAGATTTGACTAAAACACAGCATATGTATGCGTAATAGTCTCAAATAATAAAAAGCAATTTATTTTTATTGAAAAAATCATACGGAATATTCTGAGAATGCTGTCCTCCTCCCCACCCCCTTCCAGAGTCTTCTCACCTCTCCACCCATCCAACTTCTGCTATACCCATAGGTCAGTCAGTGCCTCACTTAGCCTTAGTGGGATTAACACAGAGACCCACACCAGTCAGTGTGCAGAGAGTGAGAGGTTTCAGAACAATCAGCCCTAAATGAGATGCTTTCACCAAATCCCTCCTCTCGGGAGGCAGAAAGATTGCAAGAGCCAGAGAGGATAGATGACTCCAAAGAAACAGGGGGAAAAAAGGTGTTTAAACATGGACACTCCCATAGCATTCTTTGCTGGAACACAGTGGGGCAGAGCTTTTCCGGCAGGAAACAAGGACGGTGGGAGCAGGAAGTAGCTGTGTCTTCTCTGCAGATAGTTCAGGCAATGTAACACAATGATCCTGACACATAGACAATGCTTTCTTACGATTAAAATACAAGAAAGCTGTATTAAAATAACATGCTCCTGGCTACACAGCTTGTGAACCTATGCTTTAAAGCTTTAAACTGTTCATTTTGAATTTCTATTTGTGATTTTTTTGGCTATTACAAGAGTCACCACATAGCACTCCACTTGGCTTAATTTTTTTTTTTTTTTTTTGAGACACGATTTCTCTGTGTAGCTTTGGAAACTATCCTGGAACTCACTCTGTAGACCAGGCTGGCCTCGAACTCACAGAGATTTGCCTGCCTCTGCCTCCCGAGTGCTGGGATTAACGCCTGCCAGGTAACCGTTAGACTCTTTTGCTCTGGTTTCTTTCTACAAGAAGTGCTTCTAAAGAGTCTAGATTCTTTTCCCAGGATTGCTTTCCCACTGTCAATCTAGGGCTTTGCAAGGTGATGAAACCTTGTTTCGTTTAGTGGATACACAGCCTCTATTTTGACAACATTTGTCTCTGGAAACCTCTGCTCCCATCTGGACTAATTGCTCATTAGTTCAGTTGTCCACTTGTCACCCTGAGATTTTTATTTGTTAGTCTGAATTAGATTCTCCACGTTTCAGATTCCATGGTCTTGCTTCCTTTTGGTTTACTGCATCCATCTGCTAGGGAAACATTTTCCAGTAATATCCTAAGAGAAATTAAATAAAAGTGAAAATTTTGTACTTACCATAAATTAAAATGTCTGTTTTTATAACTTTCATGTCTTGGGTTAGTAGGGAAATCTGTGTTGAAAATTACATTCTATCTTAATTTTATAGACTTTTCCATGCCATTTTATAATTTGCTGTTATCAAGAAATTGATGACTGCTGGCTGGGGGAGGAAGAGTGACTTTTCTTTAGGGGTGTGCAGATTACAAAACACAGAGCATATGAAATTTGGGGAGTAAAAGTGGTATGTGGGGAGGGATGAGGGTAATTGTGGGGGCAAGAGTAAGAGGAGTAGCTTGATCCAAATACACTCTATGCTTGGTTGACATTTTCAAACAATAAAATAATCTAATGTTATTTACCCTTTCAATAGTGTTAATTTTTAATTTATAGTTTTAATTCATGTTTACTTATATTAAGATTTTTAATTCTCAGGATTTTGAAATTCTATGAAGATAAACATGGATTCATTTGTTCTATATTCATTCAACACAGGTGAACACATGTTTGATGTACACACACAGGCATACACAAGCATATATACACACACACTTGAATATAAATGGTGAGAATGTCCCAAATAAATGGTGAGAGAGTGAGAGAAAGTGAGAACATAATTTCATAACAGAATCTTAGAACCAGGGGGATAAGACAGGTTAGTTTTTGCAAGACTATCTCCCTGGATTCCATATTTACTTTAGGAAGTCAGATTTGCAATTCTCAGTTGCCAGGTAGAAAAACACAGTAAACTATAAAAATGAGGCAATCTTTGGTAGCTCTATTGCTAATCCATGGTTCTGGGATCACAAAGAAATGAATTTGAGTCCTAAATTTGTCATTTCTTTTTATATTCTGTGAATTTGTATAAGTTAAGTTCTCTGGGTATTATATATAAAAATTTCCAATTTGTAAAATTCAGTGACAATTGTGTATAAATAATGCATCCTGGGGCTTGAGAGATGGTGCAGAGTTTCAGAGTATTTGTTGCTCTGAAGAGGACCCAGATTTGGTTCCTAGCACATGCATTATAGCTCACAACTATCTGCAACTCCAGTTTAAGAGGCTTTCTTCTGAACTTCAAGGGCTCCAGAACATTCATACACATAAAATAAGACAAATAATTCTAATTTTAAAAATTAGTTCAACTCAGAAATAAAAAGAAAAATAGCTCCGATTCATTAAATACAGTGTCGCCTCTCATTTGTGTTTGTATACTCAAAGAGTAGCACAACTGATGAATAGGTGAATGCTGTACCAATGACAATGACATTCTGGGATGCCTTTAGAATGACTCATCCTCAGTGGACAGCTACATACGTCCCCTAGGGGGCAATGTACTGTTTTATATGTCCAGCAAAAAGTCAACTTCCTACAAAAAGAAATTAACAGAATCAGTAAGGAAGTAATTACACTGTGGAGAGGAAAGATGAGTGTGAGCTTGTTGTTTTAGTGCCTTTTCTCAGGAAAGAGACCATTGCTTAAGGATGTGGACTCTCCTGCTATTTCTCCTGGGCCAAGGTAGGAGCTTTGTCGTGAGCAGAACCTGGGGTCAGTGTTAATGCTGAGTAGAGGTATGGGGCACACTTTTTACCCCCAAAGCAGGATATACAAGCCAGAGGATGAGGAAGATGTCTTAGATTAGAGGATTCTGTCAGAAAGTGTTGGTAAAAAGGAGGTGTGTGTGTGTGTGATTTGGATAGTCAGGTGATAGCAGAGTAAATAAAGCAGAAATCTTTGTCTTCAGACATGTCTGACTCAAAACTTGTTCGCCTTCATGAATCTCTGTCTCTCTTAAACCAGGCTCTGTGTTCGGTGTCCTCCTCTACCAAAAGCCAAAACAGGACATCTGTCAAAGTGGCACCTCCCTGAAAATCCAGTGTGAGGTTGACACTCAAGTTGCTGGGATGTTCTGGTACAGACAGTTCCAGGGACAGAGCTTGGTGCTCATGGCAGCTGCAAATCAAGGCTCAGAAGCCACATATGAGAGCGGATTCACCAACGAGAAGTTTCCTATCAGCCGCCCAAACCTAACATTCTCAACTTTGACCGTGAACAATGCAAGACCTGAAGACAGCAGCTTCTATTTCTGCAGCTCTGGAGACACAGCGCTGGATGCAAATGAGAGATCTCAGCAAGAACCCCCTCTCCCCACACCCAGATCTCCCCAGATGAGCCAGAGCCAATGTACTCAGTATGAAAACCACAGCTGCTGAGTGACAGTTGTTCCTATATCTGTGGCCACCATGGATGTGAATAATGATGAAGATGGAGAGAGAATCTCTAGGCTTGCTAGAGAACTCATGAGAGATGCAGGGCAAATTTTCACCCAGAAACAGGCTTACAAATACGCTGTTAACACAGATGCAGTCAGCCTGCAAGTAGCAAAGTCAAACAAACTGTGTTTTATCTCACATGACCAGGCCTAGTGCTGGTCTATTATGTTAATGTTTGTTGACTCTAAAGCCCTCCAAATACCCAACATGATACCTAAATGTCACATCAATGTAAAAAAACTGGCAAAATTTTAGGAGCCTGCTCCATTGGTGAGTTTTGGAGTATTCCAAGAGGTCTGATTCACATTGGACTATCTCCTTTAAAGACTGGCAGCATGTTGTCATCACCACAAAGAAAAAGGTGCAGTCCCCAATCCTTCCTTGGGATGTGCTACATTAGGCTGTAATAGTTGTCTTCATTTGTTAGATAGTATGGAAAGCTAAGATGGTGCTTGAGATGCAAAGTAGTTAAAAGGGCTATGGTTAAAGCTTCTAGCTGCCAGACACCCACAGCTAAACACTGAGCTGAACTTCTGGAATCCATTAGCAGAGAGGGAGGAGTGATGAGCAAAGGGGTCAAGACCAGGCTGGCGAAACCCACAGAAACAGCTGACCTCAACAAGGGGGAGCTCATGGACTCCAGACTGATAGCTGGGAAACCAGCATAGGACTGACTCAGACCCCCTGAATGTGGTTGTCAGTTAGGAGGCCTGTGCAATCTATGGGGCCTCTGGTAAAGGATCAGTGTTTATCCCCTAATGCAGGAATGGACTTTGGGAACCCATTCCACATAGAAGGATACTCTCTAAGCCTAGACACATGGGGGAGGGCTTAGGCCCTGCTCCAAATGATATGACAGACTCTGAAGATCCCCCATGGAAGGCCTCACCCTCTCTGAGGCGCAGAAAGGGGCATGGGTAGGGTGTGAGTGGGGGGCAGGGGATGAGGGGAGGGAGAGGGAACTGGGATTGACATGTAAAACAAGCTTGTTTCTAATTTAAATTTTTAAAAAAGACACACACACAAAAGCTTCCTGCTGCCAGGGAATAGACCAACAAGACCCAGGTGTTCATAAAAGTCTATGGTCAGAGGCAAGCTGATCTCTGTGAGTTTGAATCAGCCTGCTTTACATAGTCAAGCATACATGGTAAGATCACATCTTTAAAAATAAAAAGAATCTGTTATAAGATAAACAAACATGGTGGCACAGTCTGCAGCCTATGAGAAGGGGAAGATTAGGACTTCAAGTGCAGTCTGAACTGCATAAGCCAATCTCAAAAATAAAAAAGCCACGAAGACAAAACAAATAAAAATGGCCTATAAGTAAATAGGGAGTCTTGTATGGATTCCTCTACCAGTTATTTTTCATAGAAAGAAATAGAGAAGAAAATTCACTGTGTTCTGGTGATTGCTTCAGGTCTGGGACCTGGGCTATGTTTTATGACTTGCCTGTCTCTTTTGATATAGAGCGATAACACGGATGGGTTATATTGCATGCCTGTTATTTATGGATAGCAGAGGACTGAGATTTACATCTCAGGCATCATGCCTGGGATGGATGGGACTTACCTGTACATGCCTCACTGGGACCAAACTGAGGGAGCCTAGAAAATAGCCCTCTCTGGGTTTTATACCCCATAAATGCCACGCCAGGCTGCAGAGCTGAAGGAGAACCTGATTTTAGGGGGACACATCTCTTCCTATGCCATTGATCCGTTATTCCTTGGAACATATTTCCATATTCAGAGGGTTCTGATTCTTTACTCTGTTCCACCTCAAACTGATCATTTTCCCACTGACAAAAGGTACTAGAGTGAACAGACACAGCGAATAAGGACACATCCCAGCATCTACATGGCATCTCACAACTGTCTGTCCTTTGAGTCCCAAGGGTTCTGACGCCCACTTCTGAATACAAATTCACTGGCAAGACGAGATGCTACTACACACCTCTGACTTCTGCGGGTTACTGCATACATACATATGCTGCTCATATGTGTATACAGATGGAACACCTTATACATGATTTTAATTTTAAATTTTGACTCACAGAGCCATAAACTTTCTTCATAGAACTGTGTTTGGTTTACCAAAGAAATCATTCAGATAAATTTCATTTTAAACTTTGCTTCTAGGAATATTTCAGTTTTCTCCATTATTTCATCAATGGTCTGCCTTCGATAGCTCAGTTGGTAGAGCAGAGGACTGTAGGTTGACATTGTTTCATCAGTGACCAGTTGGCCCTTCAAGCACTCTTTATTAAATTTCTGTGTAATCATATTGTATCTCTTTTTCATTGTTTCTAACTTTATTCTACTCTCAAAGAGTACAGGGACTTTTTCATTTGTGAATCGAAGTGTTTATAGCATGAGATGTGATGTATTCTGGAGAAAGTTTCAGGCATTGCAGAAAAGAATATGTACTCTTTGGGTGGAGAGTTCATAAATGTCACATCTACTTGGTCTATGTAGCCCTTGAACTCTGTTCTACTTGAACAGCATAAGCATTAATAGGATGTTGTCATCACTCACTATCCCTGTATCTGATTCTATTTGTCCGTTTGTACCTAATAGATACTTTTATGAAGTGGAATTCACATATGTTAAGTGTAAATGTCTTTATAATTGTTTTATATTTGGTGTGTAGTATACATTTTATTAATACATAGTGATGTAATTTATCTATTATGACAAGTTTTTTCATTGACGTCTACTTTGAAAGATATGTGCTTAACTATTTATTTACACTTGTTTCCAATGTCCATTTCTGAACACATACTTCCCATCATTTCACTTTTAGTTTCTGTGTCTTTGCAAATTAGGCATGTCCAACAAATACAAATTGCCATTCTACAACTTTGAAGTGAATAATTAAGACCATTTCACCCTATGGGTTATTATTAAGCAGTATTAGATGATTCTTGCAGTGCTGAATTTCTCCCAGTCTTGTAATATGTTCCTTTACCCTAACTCATCTTAAAAGTTTGCTTGTTTACTGGGTTGAGTTTGTGTTTGACTTATTTGTTTACTTCTCAACTAACTATACCTCCTCATATATTTATTTTCCTTATATCTCTTGTTTGTGAGTTTCTTCATTTATGAAAAGGATTCTCATAAATATTTTCTGATAGAGATGTAATCATGAGTCACTAATTTTGTCTGTAATTATCCTGCAAAGTCTTTGTCTCTTCATAAAATTGAAAGGATAACTTTGTGGATATAACAGTATTAGATGACAGGTATTTACTTTTAGTGCTTGAAAAATACTATTAACTTTGTTTTAGATTTTAGGGTTTCTGCTGAGAGATCAGAGATAATTATTATGTTTATGTATTTTGACAATTTCTTATTACTATAAAAGTTTCTTTTATTTATATTCTTAGCATTTTAACTAGAATGTGAAATGGAACATTTCATTATTTTCGAGGTTTGGAAAATTTTGACAATAATTCCAAAAAAATATGTTACCTTTTACTTTGGATGGTATCTCAAAATCCAAGGTACCCACCATGGATCCTTAGATTTATCTTTTGATCATGCTCCAAATTCTGAATCTTATGGTCATGTTTTCTTGTCCTTCATTTCTGTCTGGATGTAAATATTCCTAATCCTTATGTTCAGGACTTTATTGTTTGTTTGTGTTTTCCTTTCTTGATTCACCTACACTGCCAGTCTGTCTTTTCACAGTGCTTCTATTAGAATTCTGAGGTCACCTTTTCAAAATAATTTGGCCACATTTAAGATCATAGTTTCCTTGCTGAATCTGCTGCTTAAGTTGTGAAATAAATGTCTTACTTAGTCCATTTTTCTTTGTTAATTTTCTTTGAGCTCCCTGATAATTTTAAAAATGAAATATTTGAAGTCTTCATCTATATTTGAATCATTTGAGTAGACTGGAATTCAGTTATTGAAGAGCTGGAAACTTTTAGAGGTATTTTATTCTTGCCCTTTTCATATAAGTTAGGGTTTTGTGTTGTTATTTTTTCACTTGCTATATTGTATATCTTGTTCTGAGGTTTTTTGTTTGTTTGTTTGTTGTTGTTTTTTTTGTGTGTGTGTGTGTGTGTGGTTATTCCTAATGAGAATACTGCTCTTGGTGTTGAGATTAACACTACTCTGAGGAGAGAAAGCCATCACCAGTAACAAAAGCAGTCAATAAGAGGCAGATTTCTAGTTTAATGACACTCAACTGGAGATGTCAACTCCATCATCAGTATTTTAAAACAAAGTAACCATGATAGTTATTTAAAGTCCAAGAGTTTAACACATAATTAGATTGAAATTCTCCACAAGTAATGAAAACAGAAGATAGCATGGGGAAAGGAAACATACAGAAGAAAACAAAGACTAGAAAACTATGTGGGTAACACGTAAGACGTGATACAGTTGCTGTATGTGGAGCAAACCTGTAAGAAGTGATACTGTTGTTGGAAGGCTTATCAGTGAAGTGTGCTTGAAGTTCTAGCAGAGGACCTATGTTCAGTTTCTGGAACCCACATCCGCAGCTCACAACCACCTGTAATTCCAGCTCCAGGGAATCTGATGCTCTCTCCCTGCTTCTGTGGGCACCTGCTTTCCTGAATGACAGCGTAATTCACACAGGCACAAACATATACACATAAACCAAAAGCAAAAAAAAAAATAAATTAAAATTAAAAAGAATAATACCGAGGGAGAATACAATCAATACATACAGAGCAGAAAATATCAAAATGAAATATATCTTTCTTATTAGAAACAGGATAGACCTATCTTCTCAAGCTTGATACTTACAGATTACCTTGTTAGGAGGTGTGGGGAAAGCACTTATATCCACCCGGTCCAAATAAACTAAAGAAAAGATTGAAGACTGGGTTTCATCGCCTCTTCCCAGCCAGAATGACTGCAATGTGGAGGAGCCACAGTAAGTTGCTTCCACCGAGTCAGCTCATTAATGCGCAC